ACTTGGTCTGCAATGACGGGATGTCTGGGGAGGCCGGTCGCTTTCTTCGAGGTAACGGACTCGTCCCCACGCCCTCTACCGAAGGGTCTCTAGCAGAACACCAGACGGGAGAGGGTCGATCGCTAGCAGCTGACTGGATGGAATATCTGGACTCTCTGCCATGTTTTGCCCTTGTTTGCGTGATCTATCTGCAGCACGTCTTAAGACGCAAAGATGATATTTATTAAATGCAGAAGGAGATAAATTAATGCAGTAACTGCAACGTGAATTAAACGCACCGCGCGTAGAACAACTAGGGCATATTACATGTGGATCGGAGGCAGAAAAAGCGTAATCTACAAATCGCATACAGATTTTCATCAACGTAAAGCTTAGCTGAACAATCACGAATACACGTGAATAAACAGTAGAAATAATGATAATTAATCAATACAAATAGTAAAGGATACTAGCTATACCTCTATAGTAACCTATGAGAGGTAAAAACTAAAAGATTATCAAAGGATATGGTGTGTAAGGAGACACGAGGCGCTCTCACATCCTGCTTACTGGGCGAAGAAGGAGAGAGTGGAGCACATGGCCAGAGGGTGGCGACACCTTTCCCGCCAGGGGAAACAAAGGGGAGCAACTCGTGGTAAGTACCAATTAGTGATTTTATTTTGAAGGGAGCTTCAAATAAGGAGATACAAGTGTTCCACTATGTTCGCAAGAAGAAGAAGACAAGCAAAAGAGCATGAGTCAGGATAAGGAAAAATAATACAATTTGTATTATCTAATTATATATTTGTTGTTATTTCATAATGTAATATTGGTATTTTCTAATTTTGCATGTTATTTTGTACATACAATATAATCACTCAAATAGTATTCTTTAGATATGCAGGTCTCTTAAGTTGAATTTTTGACCAAGTTGTTGCCTTCAAATACCATATTCCTAGTAGCCACTGGTAAAAACACTAACGCTGAAACACTATCACAAGCGGCCTAAAACATTTGAAATTTAAAGGATTGCTTTTTCAATCTCTTCTTTTGTCAGGACATATCACTAATACACAGATAGCTTCCTTTTAAAAATCTGAACTAACATAACTAGTCTGTTAGTCTGTCTGGCATGTACAGGTTGTGCATAACTATAGATGCAAGTCATTGCATTTGTCATGGGATCGTGTTTTAGACAACCATACTTCGTTAACCTTCATTCTGATATTTCCTTTTACAAGAAATGATTTTCAATTTCACTCGACTGTCACCAACATGGACAAGATCTACCAACACAGACAAGATCACCCTGTTTTAATATGCATCAACTCATTCAGAATCATGTCCATTATCATAGTTTCTACATTACAGTCAAGTTTAATGAATGTACAGTGAGACCTCGGATATCCGGACACATTCGTTTTTACGTAAATCGTCCGGATAATTGAATATCCGGATATCTGGATTTTCATACACCTCAAGGAAAATCCAAAATATTTATGATCATCAAGTGTTTATTATACATGTATAGACATTCAAAAACAGCATCACAACATAACTGGCTTGAATATCGACACACTGCACTTTTATTGCTTTGACTGAATAAACAACATCGTATCACTTCGCGTGAACAAACAACAGAAGACGACTTTGTCAGTAGTGACGTCAAATTTGCAATTAAACATCACTAGACAAGATTATTTACCTTTTAAGTTATAAGTTGTTTTTGCTGGGCATTGTATTATTTGCAGGGATTAAGATTACCAAGCGTATTTGTCTCGCATTACAAAGCCGAAATAGCAATCAGCTGTGCACACGTTACCGGCGAACAATTTCAAACATGCACAATAATATAACGGGATGAATTCTGACGCAGAATACTATTATTTAACCCAAAGAATTTTATTTACAGTTTTTATGTAAAATATATATAATCAACACTAAGGTTATACGGACCCTCATGAACGTGGTACGCATATGGAATGGGGTAAAATACGGAAGCCATTTAAATTCACACATTTTTACCGATGTTACTGTAAACTAGCAGTCAATGGAAAACGAGGCGTAATCAGTTCGTGATTGTTGAATGGGGTAAAATAAGCAAGCCAGTTTGTTGCTACAATAAATATGATATTTAGAGAAGCTATATTATGCATTTTCTGTCAACTACACTTCGTTTCGATCCGTGAGTAGACACAATAATATATATGACACCACGTCTCGTGTCAAAACACCTGGGAGTCTCGCACTTCCCCTTCACACGGTTAGCGGTAGATCAAAGCTTCGTGCGGATAGGTGAGTCAATTTTGTGTTGATTTAGCCGGTTTGTTTGTAAAATGTACCGTCTGGAAACGGAAACCGAATATCCGTTATAGACAGTCACTTTTATAACGTAAGAGAATGTTTTTTTCTAAAAATTGACCGGAAGGCGAGGTTTCTGGATATCTGGGGTCCGGGTATCTGAGGTCTCACTGTATTTGATGAGGTTGACTTTAATTTTAACTATTTTATTCACTTTAATAATTTTAAATATATATACACATATACTCAAGTAATCTAGTGTATCGTAGGCCAATTGGCCGGGTGCTGTTTTAATGTATTATAATCATGACCATACATTCTGTAGCCAACATGTGACACTTAAATAAAATAATTTTCTTCTTCATCTGCCGGTAACCTCAAGTATTGTATTTATGTTCAATTTTGAGCATTACGAATGTAAGCGCAGGGGTGGAAATATCCCATTGCCAGACGTCCCAATCCAGTGTATTTCTCTGTCGGCAATTTGTATATCACACTGTACCGGTGTCCGGTTATCTCCCAATTGACTGACAGCCAGTTGACAAGACACTGAACTAGAAGGTTAATTAGGGTTACACTTACGGGTATAATGGAACAGTCCACTGTCCAGTGAGTAGCGTAGGGTGAGCCTGAAAGAGGTTCGTTACTGAGAAGTTTGATTGTGTGTAAATAGAACTTTGTTGTGATTAAATTATAATCTCTCTTCTCTTCTCAAAATTATTTTTACTATCAATTATTATCAAATATAAAAACAGGTTTGTCAGTGAGAGGTTTGATTGTGTTTACTGATTAAAACTTTTTATGCATTCAAGAAAAGGTTTGGGCAAAACTTATCCAACTAAGAAAAGCCCTCTCCCAAAAATAGGATATGTTAAGTTAACTGAGGCACTTTTTGCTTGAGAGATATAGATAAATGGCAGAGAGATATGTACATATTTGAGAACATTCTGCTTTTCAGTTAATGAGAGACCTGCATTGCCATGAAAGATAAGATTAAGACCAGTCAATGTTCTAATTTAAACAATACTTTCTAAAGAGTTTAACAGTTTACTTTGATTAGTAAACAATGCACATTCAAGGAAGTAATGGGTATGAGATTCAAATGATGCAACAGAGTTGCAATTCCTAATAGCTATGGGATTATTATTCCATATTTAACTGCTGGTGGAATAAAAGATGATGTTGAGTACCACAGTCTTGTACACGGTTGGCTAAAATTATTGGAGTTTCTAAATTCATAACTTATCTGGTTGCCTACTACAGGTGGGAGTAAATCCTGAAGAAAATCTGGTGTTGTTCTGTTCAGTCTGAACTTTAATTTCTGAAATGCTCCAATCATTTTAGATGTCATTTTGACAATGTTTTCAATATGATGATGCCAACTCCCGTGAGATGAGAAAGTTAAAGCAGAATGTTTATGAAAATCAAGTTTGTTTTTGTTGTGTTTTTGTTTGTTTTTTATTGCATCAGCAGCATTCAAAATTCAAATGTCTTTTTGGCCATCTTTCAAAGTAAATAATACAGCTTCAGTTTTCTTCTTGCGTTCTTATTTGGACTATTCCATTATAATGTGTAGGTAACGGGTAGTACCGTAAATGTTGTTGTTTTAAGGCGTCTGCAAACTGCCTATCTGCGTAATGGGAGGACACCCGGTGTCCAGTTGACTTTCCAAAGTTAATTATGTTGTTTATTTGAAAAATCAACAAGGAAATCAGCTGGTATAGTTGAAAAATGATCAGGGCAAGTGATTTTACATGTACCACTGTACCAAAGTACACTAGCAACTTTAAGTTATTTCCACCCCTGAGGAGTACCCGGCGGCTGCAAATTGCTATGCATAATCATTGTTTACACTTCTCTACACATCACACAGAAGATTTTGGGTAAGAGTTCCACCAGTAACCCCGCTTGAAATGTATTCTATTCATTATGAATATGTCAAGGGGTTAGGGTTTAGGTGTAGGGTTTAGATTTAGTATTATGTTAGGGTTAGGGTAGGCTTTCTATAAAAATATCTAGTTTTACAATAAAGCTAAGGCATTGAAAGATAATAAAAACGTGGGTTACGGGCAGAAATCTTTTCAAATATTGTAAATTCACCAAATTAACTGATTACGTTTAAGTTTCTGATCGTAAAAGGAAAGGACGACAATGCTGCATCATTTGGGGCAAAGTTATGTGAGCCTCTTGAAGAGTTAATCGGATTCAAGCAGGGATATTTTGGCCATCTTGATGAAATTGAAAAACATACGTACTAAACATACATATATGTGAAGTTGAAACATAATAAATGAATGGTGTTGGGTTCTTTCATCCTTGACACTCGGATTCTTCAGCATGTTCAGACTAAGAAGATATCTTTGAAATGCGTACATCAGATGGCAGGTGCCAAAAAAGCATAACAAATGCAAACACATAGGAAACATGCAATAGCTTTAACGTGTTGGCAAAACGTAACCGGGCAATATACATATATTTTCTAACTTCTACAATCAGGATCATGTAACTTTCAATCTACGTTTTACACGTGGCAAACTGCCGGCCGAGTAGCCTGTGGCGGACTGCCGGTTTCAACCATTACTGAAGGTAAATGCTATTCTGCACTCGTGCTTTGTGAAAAACGAAACACTGGGATAACACATTTGAGAGTCCATAAAATGTCCCAAATCTGTATTACTTAACAAATTAACAAACCAGCACAAACACTTGCTCACACCTACCCGACGCCATGTTGATACACGAGTTTCATCCGGGGTCTATACAAGAGGTCATAGGGTCAAATGTAAAGGTCTTTCCGGTGGTGAAACAGAAGGTGAAGGACGTTTACTTCTACGAATGAAATGAAAGCATGTGTGCTTGGCACTGTGTTGGATGGAAGTGGACGTGGCAAATTTCCATTTAACGCAACACAAAGAGAAACGACCGTACGTAAATATGACATGCCCTGCCAAAAGAGATACCGGAGTTTTGTACTCACCGAATAACCCGACGTACAGAAACACGTTAATAACACGTTTATAAATACGTCTTTGCCCTCAATTTGAAGTCCCCTCTGATATGTACCTCAGTAGTAATCGAACATTATTTTGCCGACTCAACTCGAACACTAACAAATCTAGATCATTTGTACACAAATTTGAAGTATCCATACACGTTTACTTTCAGTCTCTTGCAATTTATTCGTAGCACTTGGGCTGTGTATTGCGATTCAGGTACGCGATATATATGGGAACTTGTTTGACAGTGAGTGACACTAATTGTGCATGTCAATCTTCTACATTATAAGTCCCTAAACATATTATGTTGTGGTTCTGATAACAGCATTCTCAAGTGCAGTACTCCCTAAAATTATGCTTAAACATTATGGGAAGGGAGGGGTGTGTGTGTGTCATTGATTTTGTACATGACATGCAGGGTCACTTAACTTTGTACATATATTTTAGGGAGGGTCATTCACATTGTACATGCTTCTCCATGAAACTCATCATCACCCCCCTAGCCATAAATTATCAACGGTCACTAGGCAGGGATTTTATTCCCTTTTTTATACAATATATAGTATTACAGTATGCCGTTTTGTCATTGAATAACAAAGGAAAACCTTTTGCTGTGAAAAAAGTCTGCATAGATTTTAATCTAAACCATAAAAATAATCACAAAAACTTAATATATGTTTTTTACCCAATATACCGGTTCTCAGAAAACATATTGCCATATACTGGTATACCGGTAACAACGTGCAGTCCTACTTGTAAGATTTCCCATAAACTTGATGTAATCATTCATTTCACAGTTCAAACCTTAATTCATTATGTATTGCAAACATTCAACTCACATTTCACTTCATATGTTGAATCACTGTTCACACAAAGTAATCAGTGGTCTTAGTCCTCATCCACAGATAATAAAGGTATAATAAATGAATTGATTTAACTCATTTGATCGAGGTGGTATATTGTTGTTTTAGTATTAAGCTAGGGCCTACTCTGTCAATGCAAGTCTGTTGGTGTAACAAGAAGATTACACAGTTGGTGAGTGATGATAATTTGGTGATTTAATGTTGGTGGGTGATGATAATTTGGTGATTTAATGTGCACTTTCCGATAAACTGTACACGGTCCCGCCAGGCCATTTAGTGTTTGATGAAAAGAAGGATGATTTGACTGAAAGATATGGCACCCTGCAAGGGGCATATCAGTATATGTTCTCTGTCTGTATGAATTTTGAAGTGTGCCAGAAGTGTATGGGGGAAGAACTATTGGATGGTTTCATTGGTACTTGTTTTGTTTGTTTTTATGTTTTCTTTTTGTATGTTGTTTTTTGTTTTGTTTTAGAACTTGTTGGTTATGTGGGATTATATGTGACATAGAAGGCCAATTTTGATAAAAAATATACATAAGGCTTTGAAGATTTGGGTGTTTTTAGTGGGCTTAGGAGTGTTTGTTGTTTAAGGTGTGTGTGTTGGTGAGTGGACCCTATGTGTTCTTATATATAAAATGTGAAACCAATGATGTCTTCAATGAAATTTTAAATATTCTTCATAATTACATATTTAATGGTATATCAAGTTTAATTGTATACAATTTACCCTTGTTTGGGTAAAAGTCGTTTTAGAACATGTTTGTATTGGTTATCCTGCAATTACATACAAGTCCATCCAGACGATAGGACAACACAGGAGTGACATGTGTTTATGTTTGAGTACCTCAGAGAGATTGTTATTTGTGAGCGATGTGTTTAAGATCGAAGGGCTGGGACACCGATGGTTCACATTTTTTTTTCTAAGAGACATATCAAAGATTCTTTATATTTATAGATCATGCATGATTATTTTTTTGAGTGTGAACCTCAACCATCAGTACATGAAAGATTCAATAATCAACCAAAAGGCTGCATGTCGTTGTAACAAGACGGCATGATTCAGTGCTGACAATTTTGATTAATGGATTGCCTGGTACAGACTTGATTATTTACAGGCAGCCATCATATAGGTGTAGTTTTGCTGAGTGTGTCTTTAAATCGCAAACAAGTAAGCAAGTAGTGAGGCTCAGCAGTGATATTAACTCATCTATTTCACATTGACAAAGGTAGTAAATCACTTGCAACACAACTCATCAAGGTTCAGATGGAAGTATCTGCATAAGCAAATGTATCCACATTATTGCCCATGTTTATTTGAGCACTGTTGTTAGTTCATCATTGACTTGGCACCAATTCTGCAAAACAAATTATCTCAGAACAAGTTGTACATGTCTCTGGCTGTAACTATGTAAATTGTTCCTGTAAATCAATTCAAACTGGCAGCAAGTGTGATGAACAAGTCAAAATACGTCGTTCACTATTGCAATCTGCAGCTGTACTTGTCGCTGGGAATGAAACTCACGAAAATACACAGGGCGCTCCAGTTCGATCAAAGTCCATGGATGGAACCTTACATTCGGTTGAACACGAATCTGCGAAAACAAGCCACAAGCGACTTCGAAAAAAACTTGTACAAGCTCATGAACAACTCGGTGTTCGGCAAGACTATGGAGAATTTGAGAAAACGTGTTAACGTGAAATTAGTCGCATCCATCGAGGAAGAAAAACTCAGGAAACTTATAGCCAGCCCGGCGTTCAACCGAAGCAAGATATTTGATGACGACTTGGCAGCGCTGCACATGAACAAAAGCCACATCAAATTCAACCGGCCCGTTTACATGGGGATGAGCATCCTCGACTTATCCAAACACTTGATGTACGATTTCTACTACAACGAGCTGAAAAAGCAGCACAGCGACAGGTGCGAAGTGCTGTACACGGACACAGATTCCCTGCTGATGGAAATTCCCACCGAGGACGTGTACGAGGACATGAAGAAACAGATGCACCTGTACGACACCAGCGACTATCCTAAAGATCACCCTATGCACAGCCAAGTCAACAAATGCACAGGCATGCCGATCGCCGAGTACGTCGGCTTGAGACCCAAGATGTATTCCATCAAGAAAGCCGACGACGATGAAATCCGAAAGGCGTGAAAAAACACATCAAGCACGCCAGATTCAAGGAAGCCCTGTTCAATAATAAAACGTTCAAACACCAAATGATCATGCTGAGAAGCGACGGACACAGGATATACGGACTGAGAATCAACAAGACCTCGCTTTCTCCCATGGACACAAAACGATGGATCGCCATCGACGGAGTCACCACTATTATTGAACGCTTACGCACACATGCGTACATATATCATCGAGAAAATTTATTACAGCCCGTGAGGGTACTGGAAAGGTGCGGACACCATCCCGAAACTTGCCAAAGCCACTTGAGTCTCGGAAGAGAAAGCCAAAGCTTGGCTTAAAAAACAAGCCATCTGGCAAGTCTACCTGCCGGCGCCTCGATACATCCCGAGAAGAAAATTCGACATTTCAACGCCGCATCACGTCCACCAAGCCGACCTCCTGTTTCTCCCTCACGACAGGGTGAGGCGCAAAACCTACAAGTACGCTCTGACCGTCGTTGACGTCGCCAGTTGCTACAAGGTAGCCGAACCGTTGACAACGAAAGATTCGAATGAAGTCGCCAAAGCCTTTGAACGCCTTTGAAGTTTTTTCCGAAGTCGCTTGTGGCTTGTTTTCGCAGATTCGTGTTCAACCGAATGTAAGGTTCCATCCATGTACTTTGATTGAACTGGAGCGCCCTGTGTATTTTCGTGAGTTTCATTCCCAGCGACAAGTACAGCTGCAGACTGCGATAGTGAACAACGTATTTTGACTTGTTCTTCAAGTTCGGCACGAGCTCTTTGACTTTAGCCGGCTTATTGTTTCCCAGCAAGTTTTGTTGATATTCGGACATCCAGTCCGGGTTCACCGTCAATCGTTCTGGAGCTAGCGGATAGCTGTTGTGCGATTCGTGTAGTTCTGCGGGATAGTCCAAGTCCACTTCGAGCACGTAACCTTTGTTCGAATCCAGCGTGATGCTATTCATGTCAATCATTTCGGGCGAGGACACCCATTCGAATCCCCCGGTGGGGAGATACTGACTCATGGCCCAGGCGTACAGGTTGTTGACGTCGAGATAGTGTATGTGTTTGGTCGGTTTGCCGGGGCCGTGACCGGGAACGTACTTGTTGTTGGCTTTGATGTATCGTTTGGAGGTCATGGAAATCACACCTTGCAAGCCTTTTTCTACGAACAGGGGCATGTCGTAATCCGTCAGTAGTTTCAGCTCCACGTCGGTCTTTTTCAACAAGGCCTCCCAAGAGAGACCGGGGGATGAGAAATACCACGCAGGGTCTAGGTCGTACTGTTTCGAGCACATTTTTCTGAGTATCTCAAACACATCGGCCAGCAGCAGCACGTCCGTTTTCAAGTACAGGTCGTGGTAATCATTCCACACGTTGATCGCGTGCGCGTAATTGTCCTGAGAGATATTGGAATCGGTCAAGTTGCTGTAAAAGCGGTCGATGGGAGGTAATCGCGTCTCCTCTAACTTAGACCAATCGTCCATGTACACGTAGGGGTAGACGTCCTTCCTCAGCAGCAGGGGTCGAGTCTCGGAGTCGGTGTATTGATTGGTGATGTCGAAGTCGTCCGGGTCGTTGGCGTTCTCCAGACTGTCTAGAGACAACAGCAGGAACTGAACGCTATCGATAAATCTCAGAACGTCTAACGAGAACGAGACGTATTTTTCCATGTTGTTGGGGATGCACATTATGTTGCCGTCGATCTTCGCGAGGGCCTGCATGATCAGGTGAGAATCGTTACCGCGAAGATTGTGAAACACGACAGGGATTTTGATGGTCTTGGGATTGATTTTGAGCTTCAGGTTACACACGTTGTGAGCGGCACCTCTGTACTTGCCAGTGATGTGGCAGTGATCTCTCACGACATCCCCGTTCAGGGGTTCGTCACACACATGGCAATTCTTAGCTTTCTT